GAAATTGCATCAAATAAAATGCTAACATATCGATGTTTGTATAAAGGTTGATCATTCAAGCCTTATGCAAAATATGTGTACTAAGGACCGAAAGCCGATTTTGCCAAAAGTTCAGTTATATTTAAACCTTCATCGTTAAGGTTACAATTAAAAGGAAATAAATTTTAATGTAATGACCCATCTCTAGTACTTCCTGCATCGCTTTATCATCGAAACGTGATCTTGAGTCTATCCCTCATTCAAGCGTTTTATTTAACCCTCTCAAATGCAAAATGCCTTTCATACTTGAATTGTCCAAGCATTCAACTGAATCCAAATATACATTTTACGTATAATCTTTTTCCCAAATTTTTCACATCTTACCCACAGGCTCACACATATTGACGTTTGACCAACGACGTTCCCATTTTCGGACTTAAGTCTACCATTGTATCCTCCGGCCTAATCAATTCACTTTTGGCCACATCTTCCCTGCGATAAGAACGTGCTTATCTCTACGATAAACGGCCTCAATGGACTACTCAAAGAAAGTCCTGATGCATGACTCTCCGTGAATAGAGACCACTCATCTCCATACTAATCTCAATTGTTTATGCGCATCCCCTAACGATTCCAAATTCACAAAAATATTTTTAACGTCTAATAAATCTATAGGACATGTTCACTACATTATTCTGCTCTCAGGTCCCCCACAACTTCGTCTAGGAATTGAGTTCATAATAAAGTAATGGTCATTCCTCAACAAATTGTCTTTGGCTAATGATAGCCAGATTTTATCTATCCCCATATTCAAGAAAGCAAATTGAGATTATTTCTTGAAGTTCCGTGATTACACGATGCGAATAGAATAAAGCTTCTTACCATGGATCGTCCAACATCTGAAACTATCAATTCACCGAATGTTGTCACTGTGATCGCATTGATATTACGGAAGACGGCATCCAAAGCGAATCCAGTATTTTCTTCAATTGTCGCATTAGAGCATTCGTGGGAGTCTTCGACGCTTGGAGGATTTTGAACGGCATACAAGCCATTCGTCTTAGCAGTCGATAAAACTTCAGGATATGGACCAGCTACACGATAAAGTCGTCCATCTGCTCGGCGTATCCAAATCCGACGAGACTCCGCAATATACAGCTCCCCAGTGATGGGAGATACAGCAAGGCTGCGGACAGTCTCTAGTGGCTGTCGTGTGGCTAGCGAAGGCTCGGTGAAAGGAGGCTCAGATGTCGATGACGACTGGTCAGACTGGGCTGAGTGATGGCTAATTTTCATATTAGAGAACCTACTAGTGCTAGAATTGGCGTCAACCATTGAGACCGGTATATCGGACATAGAGCCCAAACCATAATAGGGACAATCTGGCAGGCGGCCAGCAGCAAGAGTGATAGTCCGGCTGGCAAGCTGCAGTCGGTAGACCTATTCGAACAAAATAGGAATAACAAGATTAGATAATAAATTAATATCAAGCAAAAGCATTGATGAAGGCTGAAGATGATGTAAAGTGAATGAACATTATTCGAGTCGATTTAGACAATTTATTGATAGTATTTGTGGAGGATGGCTTAAGTTCAGAATAGAAGAGATTTAACTCAATTAATGAAGATTTTGGGTACACCATATCAGATGCCCTCCAATTCCGATTTTCGGCTTATAATGGAGAAATGCCAAGAGACTAATAGAATTAACTTCCAGTCCTACTTATAGACCCTAAGTGTCGATTTAAACAATACAAAT